GGGAGAGGAAAAGGCTTGGGAGAGGATGTGGATGGGAGGCTCCCACAGGAAGGGGTAACAGGGAAGTGCCTTTACCTTGGTGGCGATCGCAAAGACACACTGGCGGCATACCCAGGATGTGCCCTCTCCCTCTCCAGGGGCTGGGGCCCTGGGAACATGGCAGTCCTGGTGATAAGCTGAAGAGTGATAATGTTAATAGTAGACCACTTATTGCATACCTGTGTGTGCTTGGTATTGGGACAGGAATAGTCTTTACCCATCTCATTTAATCCTTGACCATGTTCTTGATGAGAGGGTACATGATCCTTATTTTACGAGTCAGGGAACTGAGGCTCCTAGAGGTTAAGGGACTTGTCCAAGGTCATATGGTTAGAAAAGGATGCAGTTAAACCATCCTCTGCTTGCAAAGGTTACACCACCCCTTTCCATGGCTGCTTCTCCCTGGGCTGAAAGGGGATGAGGACTAAGATAGGGCTAAGCAGCCTGGCCAGAGCAGTGGCTTGGGGACTAAGGCCATGACAGGTGACATAAGGACCATCCTGGAGGGAAGAGCAAGCTAGACCATTCAGGTGACCTGCCCTCTCACCATGGCGACACTTCTCACAGCTGACCAGCCGGTTCCCAGGGACCACAGTCTCAGAGCGACAGACACAACAGAGGAGTTCCTCCCCAGGGAGGGCAGCTGTGAGAGAACACAGTGTCACGGGGCCTGCCCTTAAGTCTCTTTCTGCCCCTCTAAGCCAGGTTTGTTTTCCATGGGATGTGCAATCTCAGGTCTCTAGTCTTACCAGGGCTAATGTCTTTCCATAGAACCAGAAACTGCGAATCATCCTCAAACTGGACCAGACACACCTCTCTAGCACTGTCCACCTGGAATGGGTGAGCAAAGAGGATGAAATGGGAACCAGAATTAGATAAGGGAAATAGGAAAAAGATCAGAGGTAGGTCTTACCTTTTTGATGGTACCCAAGTATAGCAGCCCATCAGTCCATCTGGCCAGCACATCTTGACCCTCCCAAAGTCGAGGCCTGGGGCCAGAGGTGGGAGCAGGAGAAGCTGGGTCCCAAAGTGAGGAGGTACCAGAGCGGCTCAGCCGGGGGGGCTGCGCCATTGCATCCTGGGGGGGCCTAGCCAGAAAAGAAATGGGGAGGAGAAGGTTATGAATGCTCAGAAAGCTTCCCCATTTTCTTTTTCTTTTTTTTTTTTCTGAGATGGAGTTTTGCTCTGTCGCCCAGGCTGGAGTGTAGTGGCACAATCTTGGCTCACTGCAACCATCACCTCCTGGGTTCAGGCAATTCTCCTGCCTCAGCCTCCCAAGTAGGTGGGATTAAAGGTACCCACCACCACGCCTGGCTATTTTTTGTATTTTTAGTAGAGAGGAGGTGTTGGCCATGTTGGCCAAACTGGTCTCGAACTCCTGACCTCATGATCCACCCACCTCAGCTTCCCAAAGTGCTGGGATTACAGGCGTGAGCCACCGCGCCCGGCCAACTTCCCCATTTTCTTTGCCTATTTTGCCGTCAAGAATGAAGGATCTGTGCCCCCATCTCCAAATCCCTGAGACACCTGGATAGGAAACCACCAGGCACCCATCACCAGCTTCTTGAGTCCTCTTTCAACTCTAGTGACTGGCTGTCCTCACGGTAACTGCCCTCCCCCCAACCCCAAACCTAGTTGCTAGTTTCCCAGCTTCCAGAGCTCTCCTGGGATATTATATCCTGGCCTTGAAATTTTAGGAGAAATTACAGTTGTAGAAGCAAAGACTACCACTCAGTTTAGAGGTATCATAATTAGGGTGTCCTGTTGCCCAGAGATGTGTTTTGGGACCTTTTCTGGAGATGTTTTCCAGAGCAGAAACGGCTGTCTCCCCAGGCCTGCGTGTCTCATTAAGAACAATCATCCTGGTGCCAGGTTATGTCAGGTCACCCTCAAATTCGGGGCTCCCTGCCCCCGGGTTAGACAACTTCTCCGAGTGCCCCGGGAGGGGGGCGTGTCCCAGTCCTGGTCTCCACTCCCCAGGACCGCAAGTCCGAGAAGGGACTTGAGTCGGCCCAGCTCGGACCCGAGGCCAAGGCGGCGAGGCTCTCCCGCCCGCGCCCCGCGCCGACCCCCGGCTCCCTGCCCCCCACCGGCGCCTCCTGCCGCCTCCTTACCGGTGACAGCTGGGGCCGCCGGGAGCCGGGCAGGGGCAGACGTAGGAGACCTAGGCGAGTCCCCCGCGCGGAGAGGGCACGTCCGGGCGTGGGGGGGGTGTGCAGGCGGAGGCCGGGGGGTCCCCAGGCCCAGCCCCTCCGTCCCGGCGGCTCTGGGGCGTATGACGCAGCAGCCAAAGCAGCGGCAGCGGCAGGAGGAGGAGGCGGCGGGGGGGAGGGAGGGGAGGGACGGACCGGTTGGGGGGAGGGTGGTGGGAGGGGAGGACTGGGGGGAAGGAGGAGCCGGAGGGGGGGGCGGGCACCACCTCACCCCACCTCCCTCACCTCCGACAGGCCTGGAGGGCGCCGAGGAAGAGGCAGGCCCTCCGCGGCTTGGGAAGCAAAGAGTCGGACCCGGTGGGAGAGGGAATCCCCTCAGCCCCTTCCTCCGACCTGAGACTCGCCCTTGGGGCACGAGGGAATCCCCCCTCCCGGCAGCGCGCCTCCGGACTGGTCCCCCGCCCCATGCCACATCCGTTAACTGCCCCACCCCCCATGGTCACTCCAAGTCCCGCCCCCCGGCCCCAGTTCACGGCCCCGCCCTCCATTCACCCTTCTCGATGCCCCCACCACGCCCTCCTCCCTCGCGCGCCCCGCCCTCCACTCGTCGTTAGCCCCAGCCCCGCCCTCCCCGTGGCGAGTCGCGCCCCACCCGCCGCCCCTTTGCGCACGCGTGTCCCCTCCTGCGCGCGGCACCTGGGAGGACTGAGCCCCTCCTTCACGGGGCGGCGGCCGTCGGCGGTTGGCGCGAGGGAGTCGGCGGGCGTGCGCGCCGCTTCCCGGGCACGTCCCGCCCCGTGCTTCCAGGGCTGGCGCAAAGACGAAGGGGGCAAGGACCCGAGGCGGTGACGCCACCGAGAGCCAGCCAATGGCCAGCGAGCGGGCAGAGCCCCAGCCGTTCGAACGGAAAGGCAGGGAAAGGGCGGGAGGAAAGAGCCAGCAGTTTGGGAGCGCGCGCTAGCCCCGCCTCTGGACTCCGGGGTCCGGTCCCCATTTGCCGACACCCACCAAAGGAACGTTGCTCCCTGGGGCTGGGGTGGCCGGCGGAAGGGTGAAACTTATCTATAACTAGTGACCAAGGAGAGGGCGTGGATAGCTAGAGGGCACGCCTCCCTGATGTGAGGGACGGGGGAGGGGGTATCAGCAGAGGGGAAAATGATCCAGACCATGGTCCAGAACCGGTGAGAGCTGAGGAGAGGAAAGCCCAAGCCCTCAGCCCCCGCTCCCGCCTCCCACACAAACAGATATGAAAATATCTGCCTTCTTGGGCAGATAAACCTTTATTTAAAAAAAAAAAAACTATTCTTTATTTGATAGCCCTGGGACATGGTGCCCTCCACCCAATAAAGCACCCTCCAGCAACCCTCCCACTCCTCACCCAATACATACACATACAGATACAGACACACACACACACTCCCAACACAAGATCTGGATCCGTCTTCACTTCCTGTTGGCCTGGGCAGTACCAATAACACACTGGTTCACCTGGGGGTAGACAGGATAAAAGTTTGCAGAGTAACCAATACAACATTTTCCCCAAGATCTCCTTCCATCCTCCAATGCTAGGGCTGCCCTCAGAAATACTGAAATAAGGCCTCCAAAGGCAGGTTCAGGCTGGTCCCAGTTATGGTTGGTTCTCCTCTGCACACTAGGTTTGGAGGAGGTTAAAAGGCCTGAGAAGAGATAGAAGCCCCAGAAGAAAATACAGGAGCAGAGAGAGGAGGCTTTCATTTCCAGCAATACCCTGTACTAGAGACCTCCAACCTCTCCCACTGTAAAATACTTAAACCGAGATAAAAGAGTAGTAACACCCATTTAGGAACTAGGACTCCTTAGAAAATGGATCAGTTGAAATCTGGGGAGGAAATGTACAAGTTGAATCTGAAAAGACTGCTAGAGTTCTGTCTAAAGGACACTGGCGCCAACCTGAAGGAGGTTCTTTTTTTTTTGAGACAGTCTTGCTTTGTCACACAGGCTGGAGTGCAGTGGCTCGATCTCGATCTCGATCTCGATGCTCACTGCAAGCTCCACCTCCCAGGTTCACGCCATTCTCCTGCCTCAGACTCCTGAGTAGCTGGAACTACAGGCGCCCGCCACCACACCTGGCTAATTTTTTGTATTTTTAGTAGAGACAGGGTTTAACCGTGTTAGCCAGGATGGTCTCCATCTCCTGACCTCGTGATCCACCCGCCTCGACCTCCCAAAGTGTTGGGATTACAGGCGTGAGCCACCGCACCCGGCCAGGAGGTTCCTATTGGCCCAAAATGGGGCAATTTGAGCATCAGAAAGAAGAACGACTGTGGCTGGGCTGGGTGGCTCACGCCTGTGATCCCAACACTTTTGGTGGCTACAGTGAGCTATGATTGAGCCATTGAATTCCAGTCTAGGCAACAGAGCAAGTCTCTGTCTCAAAAAAATAAAAATAAAAATAAAGATAACCCTCAGATAAACATTCATTGGTCACCTTTGGAAGCTGCTAGGGTATCAACTCAATACTGAAAATCAATAAATAATTCAGCATTTATCTTGTTTTTCCTGTATGAACTGAATTTCAGAGAAACCAAGTAGATGGCAAGGCAAATATCTTCATAAAAAAATTATGACTAACCAATGCAGAACAACTAAGATTAGAAAAATCGCCATTTAAAAACCCCTTAATGAAATAATGGATCCAGGTATGGTCACTGATGGGTAAAATCACTAGGTGAAAAAGTCAGTAAGGAGCTTTTAAATGGATGGATCACGCTAACAACACCCAAATATGATAAATAAGTGAAAGTACGGGGGAAAGAGGAAGCAATCAGCCAAAATCCAGAATAGTATATTCGATAGGACAAATGACCTTCAACAAACAAATGACATAATAGTGGCAGTGTGGGGTAGGGTTGTGGAACTTGAGACATTTCAATCAAGTGGGTGGCCCTTGCCTGGATCCTGATTTGAACAAACCTATTAGGTATAAAAGACACTTCTGAGACAGTTGGGTGAAATTTAACATAAACTGGGTATTAGAGGATATTAAAGTTCATGTTGTTGGATGTTACATTGGTATAACATTAATAAAAATTAGAAAAAACATCACCACCCTCTAAAATTGAACTTAGAATACCAGATCAGGGTGCAGGTGCTGGCTACAGCGACAATCAGTGCTGATTGGGAGGAGGCCCAAGCGCACAGCAGGACAGACCTGATCAGACCTCAAATAAAGCCAGAGCCCATTAAAGGGCTAGACACTCAGGAGGAGGGTGAACCAGAGAAAAAAATTACCGTAGAGGCAGACAGTAAGGAAATTTTCTGACTTGCTTAACACTAGTGGGAGGAGATTCTAGTGGAAGGAATTCTCATACATGAGAATTCATATGGCCACTGGCTGATCCTCATGGAGTTTGGAGTCTGAATTCACACTATTTGGAACAGTCTGAAAAACCTGTAAGCCTTTGATCCAGTAATCCCATTTCAAGGACTATTTCCCTGGTTAGATGTAACTGAAAAAATACAAAATGATGTATGTACAAAGTTAGTCAACGTGGCCTTGTTTGTAACTAAAAAAGGGTGGAAACAATCCAAGTGTCCAGTAGAGGGAACTGGTGGATAAATTTTGGTGCAACTACATAGTGGAGTCCTAGGCAGACCTAAAAATAATGGAATGATCTCTGTATGCTGATAGGGAGGAATCTTAGGGATATTTTGTGTGTTTTGTTTTTTGAGACAAGGTCTTGCTCTGTCACCCAGGCTGAAGTGCAGTGGTAGGATCATGGCTCACTGCAGCCTCTACCTCCCAGGCTCAGGTGATCCTCCCACCTCAGCCTCCTGAGTAGCTGAACTACAGGTGTGAGCCACTACACCCAGCTAATTTTCCTGTTTTTTGTAGACAGGTCTCACTATGTTGCCCAGGCTGATTTTAAACTCGTGGGCTCAAGCAATCCTCCTGTCTTGGCTTCCCAAAGTGTTCGGATTACAGGCGTGAGCTACTGCGCCCAACCAGTTTAGACCTTTTAGTCAGTCACCTTTTCTTTTTTTTTTTTCAATCAGCTTTCTCAGGTTAAATTAATCACCTGTTTTTTAAAAAACTTAACTCAAAAGCTAATAATTAAAAATGGAACCATGGTGAGTACTGCCTCAGATGCCTGCAAATGTAAAACCTTTCTGGACAAATGTGCTCCCTGCCCTAGAAGACAGAAGGGATAGGAATGGAGAAGCCTACAAGCACCCATGGGTCCTGACAAGGCCTGGGATTGATTGGTGGTAATCGCACCTTGGAGGCAAAGCGTAAAGAGTTGAGGGACTCGGAGACGTTCTCTTCCAGTGGAGAAATGTTCACAAACATGAGCCTATGAAAACAGAATATGCCCAATCCCAGCATTAGGGGCCAGCAGAGCCTGGACAGGTCTCCACTGTTCCCCTCTTTCTACCCCTCACCCCAACACAGTTCCTACCTGAACCCTTCCATCTGTCCCTTTCACTCACATCTTAGCACTACCACCCAGAGAGTTCTGCAGCAGGTACGTCAGTTTGCTGTTCCGGTAAGGCACATGGGACTCCTACATGATTGAGGTGGGGACAGATGTTTAGGAATGGGCAGAGTTCTGCACAGCCAACCCCAACTGGCCCCCAGGTCCCATATCTACCCCCACCCCTATTCCCACCTTGTTGCTCAGGGCCATGATAACCAGCCCCAGCGTGGACAGGCTGCTGTTAATGGCCTGTGTTTCCCGAAGGCGTTCCCGCTCCCCAGGGCCGAGGGCTAAGCCAGGGTCAAGTCGCTCACTCCCGGCCAGGTCCACAAGACTGAGGGAGGCCCCACACTGCAGGCCTCGGCTGGAGTGCTCCCCAGAAATCTGTAGCTGGAATACACTGTGGCTGCGTGATGACCGTTCATTCTGGGCTGTGCGGGCCACAGCCCGATTCTGGCGGGCCAGATGAAGCAGGGCCTCCACCTGGGGATGGGAGCAGAAGGGGCAAAAGGGCAGGCAGAAGTCATTACATAGTAATATGTATGGAAATAAGTAAGAGCCCACCCCCACTCTCTTGAAGCTTTCTAGCCTGTCAACAAACAAAATTAGATGCACAGTATGTCTGAAAATGGTAAGGAATACATAGAATAGGAAGTGTATAAAGGCCGGGTGGGGAACCAAGTTTTGACAGGATAGCCAAAGATGGCCTCATTGCCATAAGATCTCCAGGAAAGGAGCATCCAGGCAAAGGCCCTGAGATGGGGAGCATGACTAGTTGGTTGAGGAATAGCCAGGAGACCAGCATGGCTAGGATAAGCTGAGCAAGGAGATGAGACCTGAGATGCAGTGACCCTCCCCATTTCGGCAGCTGCATCACTCCCTCGCCACTCCCGGGTTAAGGCAGATCTACCTACAGCCCACAGGCCAAAACGGGATGTGGTAACCCAGCCTCACAACTTGTACTTCATCCTTCAATTCTCTCCTGCTCCTTTCTCTCTCTACCTCCATCTTGTGGCACCCTGCCCACTCCTCCCCATTCCCCAGTTCCAGTGCCCATGGGTCCTCACTTCTTTCTCACAGGAGACAGGGACATATCGAGCATTGGTGACAGTGAGCTCCTCGCTCCCTGGCCCCGCACGGCGAATCTCACACTCGCCCCCTTGACCCTTCCGGGTTCCAGTGGCCAGCAGGTCCCGGACAGTCTCATTGTAGATCTCTACGTAGCTTGCTACAAAGCTGTAGGTCCAGCCCTGACCACTCAGCTCCTGGGCCACAGAGAAGAGGTGCCGTAGGGCCCGAGGGATCAGCCCCTCCAACTGGGGGTCTCCCCCAGGCCCACCCTCCATTGTGAAGGTCTTGCCACTGCCTGTCTGGCCATAGGCAAAGATGCATACTGGATAGCCATCCAGGGCTGACTGGACAAGCATGGCAATCTCTTCAAACACTTCATCCTGTCCACTTCCTGGTGGGAATACCCGGTCAAAGGAAAAATCGTGGCGAGTTGGTGGGGCTGGTGCCCCACTCAGGGTCCCACGCCGCTCGTCAGACCGGGAGAGGCTAAGGCGGGTTGGAGGATCAGAGGGCCCACCAGGGCCAGAGGGAAACAGGAGGAGGCCGGGGGGTGGAGTGGGCTCCCCCGGAAGGACAGGGCGGACCCGGCAGAATACACGGATGTTGCCCTTGAGTTCCTGCAGCTGGTTGTGCAGTCGCCGGCGCTCCATTTCTAGCCCGTGAAGACGTTCTTCCCGCTCAGCCAGTAGGGCTGCCTGGGCCGCAGTCTCCTGCCACAGAGATGCCACCTCTGCTCGGCTGCTTGACAGGGCTGCTTCTGATGTCTGCAGCCTCCTCTGCCCAGAACAGAACACAACATACACAGAGGGTGATTTGCAACCAAGAATAAGAACAAATTGTGTGGCATATGGAGTGGGTGGAGTGAGGTCCCCGCTGAAAAGGACCTCAACACCTGGTAAACAAAGAAAGATAAGAAAATAAGGAATCATGGTACTAAGACAGGGAGTGCTATGGGTATGCCCAAGCACAGAGGAGCACAAGGAAGATGATATCTAGGCTGATACCCAGAAGTACAGAAGTGAACCAAGGAAGGATGCAGTACACAAAGAACATTCCAGAAAGAGGGAAGCACATATGCAGAATGCCCAGAAGTGAAAGTTGAGTCATTTAAGAGACTGCAAATAATTTAATCTAGTTGGTGCTCACCAGGAAGGAGTCAAGTGGACATGGGAGGAGGGAAAGAGAGTACCACAGGAATTTGTGATCAGGATGCCAAAGAAAGAGGGATGGAGGACTAAGGAAGACACAGATCTAAATGGGAGCTTTGCAAACAGTCAAGGGTAGGAAGAAGCATGGCAGAAAGCAAGACAGTCAGGAGTGGGCTGGGTGCAGACTGGTGGAAGAGAGAGGTATCTTCAGCAGCACCTATACTGCTAAAGATAGGTGCTCAGGAGTTCTGAGCCCAAACAGACTTGAGGGGCACCTGGAACAGAGGGGAGGCATGACCTCTGCCAGGAAAGCGGGGCTGGCATCTGGTGAAAATCTGGCCCTTACCTCCTTCTCCTCTAGTTGGGACGTCAGTCCCCTCCTTTCTTCCTGCAATTCCACCTGTTTTTTCTGAAGCTCTTGCACCAAGCCCTCCTGCGTGCTCAGCCGCTCTTCCAGCTCCAGGACACAAGCACGCAAGTTCTTCAGCTCCTGTTGGCCCTGCTCAGCCTGGGCCTGTACCTTGGCTAAATGCCCCTCCAGTGTCCTGCGCTCTGTCCCCAGGGCCTTGGCCTGCTGTTGGGCATCTCTGAGCTGGTTCTGAAGCTGCTGGTTCTCTTGGTCCAATGTTTGAGTCCTCTCACGGCAGCGTTTTAGTTCTGCGTTTAGGTCACATAACTGACCCTTTAAGTCCCAGGCTGGACGTTTGCTGGGTTTCTTCCCTCCTGCCATGGGAGGAACAGCTGATGCTAAGACGAACACAGAAAGGACAAAGTTCAGTGAAGTCTAGGCTCTCTATCCCTCCTCCCTTCTAGCCTTTATGGGATCCACACCTGATGCTACATCTCCTTCCCCTAAGAGACCAAATGGATTTTTCTGGGCACTCACCATCTTCTCTTCCCTATCCCAGCCTCTCACCCAGTGGTTATGTTTGTCACCTACTGCCAGGCTTCTGGACAGGAACAGCAGGAACTGGCTTCTGGTTCTTCAACCCTAGAGAATTGAGGAGGTGACTTAGGAAGTACAGGACCAGTGTCCCTTCACCTCCGTCATTCTCCCTTTACACATTACCCCAAATCCCTTCTCAGACCCAGCTCTTGAGCACAATTACCTGTGGCAATAGCTGTGGAACACCGGGGTCCTGTCTTCTTGGAAACTTTTTGAGCTGCCCAGGAGATGGGAGAGAGCAAAGGTAGAATGATCATTCTTAAGATGACATGTAATCTTGCTAGGACAGGGGCAGAAGTGCTTTTCTCAGAATTAGAAATAAGATAACTTTCTTCCCTTATCCCTACATCTGGCCAGCTCCTAATGATACCTCCCCTAGAACCAGAAATTAGAGTCATCCCTCAGTATCCAAAAGGGGTTGATTCTAGCACCCCCCAAGAATACCAAAATCCAAGGATGCCCAAGTCGCTTACATAAATTGGTATATAGTATTACATATAGTCTATGCACACCCTCCCATATACTTTATTTATTGATGATTGAGACAGAGTTTCACTCGTTGCCCAGGCTGAAGTGCAATGGTATGATCTCAGCTTACAGCAAACTCCACCTCCCGGGTTCAAGCGATTCTCCTGCCTCAGCCTCCTGAGTAGCTGAGATTACAGGCATGCACCACCATGCCTGGCTAATTTTGTATTTTTAGTAAAGACGGGGTTTCACCATGTTAATTAGGCTAGCCTCGAACTCCTGACAGCTGGTGATCTGCCTGCCTTGGCCTCCATTTTTTTTTTTTTTTTTTTGAGATGGAGTTGCGCCCTTGTCACCCAGGCTGGAATGCAATGGCGCAATCTTGGCTCACTGCAACCTCCGCCTCTAGGGTTCAAGCAATTCTTCTGCCTCAGCCTCCTGAGTAGCTGGGATTACAGGCATGCACCATCACGCCCAGCTAATTTTTTTTTTTTTTTTTTTTTGTATTTTTAGTAGAGACAGGTTTTCAGCATGTTGGCCAGGCTGGTCTCAAACTCCTGACCTCAGGTGATCTGCCTGCCTCAGCCTCCCAAAGTGCTGGGATTACAGGCGTGAGCCACAGCATCCAGCCACATATACTTTAAATCATCTTTAGATTACTTATAATATCTAACACAATGTAAATGCTATGTCAATACAGTCATGTGCCCATAATGACGTTTCGGTCAATGACAGACTGCATATACAACAGTAGCCCCGTAACATCATAATGGAGCTAAAAATTCCTATTGCCTAGTGACATTATAGCCATGGTAATGTCATAGCATTCCCCACCTGTTTGTGGTGATTCTGGTATAAACAAACCTAATGTACTGCCAGTTGTATAAAAGTATAGCACATACAATTATATATAGTACATAATACCTGAAAATGATAATGACTGTTACTAGTTTATATATTTACTGTATTGTACTTTTTATTGTTATTTTAGAGTGTACTCCGTCTATTTGCAAAAGCAGTTAACTATAAAACAGCCTCAGGCATGTCATTCAAAAGGCATTCCAATTTAATTTTAAAAATAAAATTTTAAATTAAAAAAATAATTTTAGGCGGGGCATAGTAACTCACACTTGTAATCCCAGCACTTTGGGAGGCCGAGGCGGGCAGATCACGAGGTCAGGAGATTGAGACCATCCTGGCTAACACGGTGAAACCCCATCTCGACTAAAAATACAAAAAAGTAGCTGGGCGTGGTGGCGGGCGCCTGTAGTCCCAGCTACCAGGGAGGCTGAGGCAGGAAAATGGTGTGAACCCGGAAGGCGGAGCTGCAGTGAGCCGAGATCACACCACTGCACTCCAGCCTGGGCGACAGTGCGAGACTCCTTCTCAAAAAAAAAAAAAAAAAGGGCATTCCAGAAGACCCTGTTATCACAGGAAGTCACATCTCTATGTGTGTTACTGCCCCTGAAGATCTTCCAGTGAGACAAGATGTGGAGGTGAAAGCCAGTAATGTTGACGATCCTGACCCTGTGTAGGCCTAGACTAATGTGTGTATTTCTTCATTTTTAACAAAAGGTTTCAAAAGCAAAATAATATTGAAAAATTTTCAAATTCAAGCTTACTTCTTGGAAAAAATACAAATAAAATTTTAAATTAAAAAAAGAATTTTAGGCGGGGCATAGTAACTCATGCTTGTAATCCCAGCACTTGTGGAGGCTGAGGCGGGTAGGTCACAAGGTCAGGAGAAAAGACCATCCTGGCTAACACGGTGAAACCCCATCTCGACTAAAAATACAAAAAATTAGACAGGCGTGGTGGCATGCACCTGTAGTTATAGCTACTCGGGAGGCCGAGGCAGGAGAATTGCTTGAACTCGGGAGGTGGAGGTTATAGTGAGCTGAGATCATGCCACTGCACTCTAGCCTGGGCAACACAGCAAGACTGTCTCAAAAAAAAAAAAGAATTTTCTTTTCAACCCAGGAGACGGAGATTCATATTGCCCTGAGTATATGCTCCCCACCCAAAAAAAAAATTTAGACAGAAAAAAAGCATGAGGAATAAGGATATAAGTAAATATTTCTGTACAGCTATACAATGTGTTTTAAGTTGTTATTATAAGGTCAAAAAGATAGCCGGGTGCGGTGGCTTACACCTATAATCCCAGCACTTTGGGAGGCTGAGGCAGGCAGATCACGAGGTCAGGAGATCGAGACCATCCTGGCTAACATGGTGAAACCCCGTCTCTACTAAAAATACAAAAAACAAAATTAGCCAGGTGTGGTGGAGGGCGCCTGTAGTCCCAGCTACTCGGGAGGCTGAGGCGGGAGAATGGCGTGAACCTGGGAGGCGGAGCTTGCAGTGAGTTGAGATTGTGCCACTGCACTCCAGCCTGGGCGACAGAGCGAGACTTCATCTCAAAAAAAAAAAAAAGAGAGTTAAAAAAAGATTAAAATGTTACATCAGCCTTGGCAAGTGGGAAAAAAAATGTTAAGTTTATAAAGCAAAACAGTTATAGTAAACTAAGGTTAATTTATTATAAAAGAACTATTTTTTATAAATTTGGTGTAGCCAGCCGGGCGCGGTGGCTCACGCCTGTAATCCCAGCACTTTGGGAGGCCGAGGCGGGCGGATCACAAGGTCAGGAGATCGAGACCATGGTGAAACCCCGTCTCTACTAAAAATAGAAAAAATTAGCCGGGCACAGTGGCGGGCGCCTGTAGTCCCAGCTACTCGGGAGGCTGAGGCAGGAGAATGGCGTGAACCCGGGAGGCGGAGCTTGCAGTGAGCCGAGATTGCGCCATTGCACTCCACCCTGGGCGACAGAGCGAGACTCCGTCTCAAAAAAAAAAAAAATTTGGTGTAGCCTAACTGTACCATGTTTCTAAAGTCTACAGCAGTGAAGAGTAAGGCCCTAGGCCTTCACATTCACTCACCACTCACTCACTGACTCATGCAGAGCAATTTCCATTCAACCATGCTCCATTTAATGGTTTGTACCCTGTACAGGTGTACCCTTTTTTTTATCATTTATATTGTTATTTTAAATGTACCTTTTCTATGTTTAGGTATGTTTATACACACAAATGGTTACCACTGGGTTATAGTTACCTACAGTGCTTCACTATAGTAACACGCCACACAGGCTTGTTGCCTGGGAGCAATAGGCTATCCCAGACAGCCTAGGTGTGTAGCAGGCTAGATCATCTAGGTTTCAGTAAGTACATTCTATGATGTTTCCACAGTAATGCATTTCTGATAATGTATCTGCATTGCCAAGTGACACATGACTATAATTGTTATATTGTATTTTTTGGTTATTTTTTTATTTTCCATGAATATTTTCTTTTCTTTTTTTTTTTTTTGAGACCGAGTCTCGCTCTGTCGCCAGGCTGGCGCAATCTCGGCTCACTGCAACCTCCAACTCCCGGGTTCTAAGCAATTCTCCTGCCTCAGCCTCCAGAGTAGCTGGATTACAGGTGCGGGACATCATGTCCGGCTAATTTTGTATTTTTAGTAGAGACAGGGTTTCACCATGTTGGCCAGGCTGGTCTGGAACTCCGGACTTCAGGTAATCCACCCACCTTGGCCTCACAAAGTGCTGGGATTATAGGCGTGAGCCACTGTGCCTACTCTCCTTGAATATTTTCAACCGATGGTTGGTTGAATCTACAGAAGCAGAACCCACGGATACAGAGGGCCAACTGTACTCCATAGGCCAAAAAGCAAGTTGGATCAAGATAAGTAAAAGCAGAACCATGTCTAAAGTATACCACCGTTTGCGTAAAAAAGGTGGGGGAGTATAGTCTTACTTGCTTGAATACCAATAGAATTTTCCTGGAAGAACATACAGTTGCCCTGGGTAGCAGAACTGGGTGGTTGGAGGACAGAAACAGGAAGCAAATTTTACTATACAACAACCTTTGTGCCTTTGGAATTCTGAACCAAATGAAATGTTATTACCTATTCAAAATAGACAGGCTGGGCGCGGTGCCTCACCTGAGGCCAGGAGTTCAAGACCAGCCTGGCCAACATGGTGAAACCCCGTCTCTACTAAAAATACAAAAATTAGCTGGGCATGGTGGTGGGCAACTGTAATCCCAGCTACTCCGGAGGCTGAGGTAGGAGAATCCCTTGAACCTGGGAGGAGGTTGCAGTGAGCAGAGGTCGCGCCACTGCACTCCAGCCTGGGCGACAGAACAAGACTCTGTCTCAAAAAAACAAAAACAAAAACAGAAAAAAAACAAAATAGAATAAAATTGAAAGAAAAGAAACAAGTGAGTTGAAGAGCACTGGACTTCCGTGTCCTTCGAGGCTATCCATCCCGAGAGCCCACCTGTGGTCTGGCCTTGTGTCTGTGGCACTGTAGTGAGGGATGGAACTCTTGGGTGGGATGTGGTAATTTTGGTCGTTGCACCCAGGCCTCTTGTCCGTTTCTGGGGAAAGATAAAGACAAGGTCCACAGTCACCCTCCCAAATGGTTTATACTCTCTCTCTCCTTTCTTTCACACACACATACACACACACACCCCCACATACCCCACACACACATGCACAGCTCTCCACGCCCAGCTCACCTTCTCAGGCTCCAGGCCATCTTCCATCTGGTCAGGCCTCCTCTTGAGTCTGCTTCCTGAGAGAGGCAGCCGGGAAGGGGCCTTAATCCGAGGTCTCTTCAGTTCTATGTTCCCCTTTACTTCCAACAGCGGGGACCTCTGTTGGGAAAAGAGACCCTTAAGACAATACCCAGGAGCCCAAATGTCCCAAGAACTTCCCGTCTGGGCCCCCCAGCCTCAATTATCAACATCACCACACCAAGCACTGAGCACCACTTGTGCCAAAAGCTGAATTATGTGCCAGACAGACAGCATGAACAGAAGTGGGGACATAACCTAAAAATGGGAATAACCTCTAGGAGAAAAGCTGGACTTGACTAACTTTAAGGGCAGGAGTCAAACAAGCAGAGAGGAATGGATGCTTTTTCTGGAAGGCAAAAATGCAAATATGCACACAGCATGGCTAAGAAACCAACTGGCCCTTTTGGCTGAAGCTGAGAATCATAAATAAGGGAGAGAGTGGAAGATATCTGAGGGCTGAAGACTGCTTGGGAGAATCAGGCAACATTTATTGAGCAATATTTGAAATGTTTTACCTGGGCCAGGTACAGCAGTTCACGCCTGTAATCCCAGCACTTTGGGAGGCTGAGGCAGGCAGATCACAAGGTCAGGACTTTGAGACTAGCCTGGCCAACATGGTGAAACCCTGTCTCTACTAAAAATACAAAAATTAGCTGGGTGTGGTGGCGCATGCCTGCAATACCAGCTACTTGGGAGGCTGAGTCAGGAGAATCACTTGAACCTAGGAGGCAGAGGTTGCGATGAGCCGAGATCACACCACTGCACTCCAGCCTGGGCAACAGAGTGAGACTCCATCTCAAAAAAAAAAGGCACTCGAACTTAATTCTGGCCGAGCACGGTGGCTTACGCCTGTAATCCCAGCACTTTGGGACGCTGAGGCGGGCAGATTACTTAAGGTCAGGAGTTCAAGACCAGCCTGACCAACATGGTGAAACCCGTTTCTACAAAAATTACCCAGCCATGGTGGCATGTGCCTGTAATCCAGCTGCTTGGGAAGCTGAGGAAGACAATTGCTTGAGTGACTGGCAGAGGTTGTGGTGAGCCAAGATCATACCACTGCACTCCAGCCTGCGTGACAGAGCGAGACTGCGTCTCAAAAAAAAAAAAGACGAAGAACTTGGCCAGGCGCGGTGTCTCACGCCTGTAATCCCAGAACTTTGGGAGGCTGAGGTGGGCAGATCATGAGGTCAGGAGATTGAGACCATCCTGGCTAACATGGTGAAACCCCATCTCTACTAAAACATACAAAAAATTAGCTGGGTGTGGTGGCGGGCGCCTGTAGTCCCAGCTACTCGGGAGGCTGAGGCAGGAGAATGGTGTGAACCCGGGAGGCGTAGCTTGCAGTGAGCCAAAATCGCGCCACTGCACTCCAGCCTGGGCAACAGAGTGAGACTCCATCTCAGAAAAAAAAAAAAAAAAAGAACTTAATTCTCATGGAACTTAGTTGAAAGGGGCTATTCTAGAAGCTTGAGGGCTAAGCTAGGCAGACATCCACCTTAGCGAACCAGATGGCATTTGCCTGTGGTCCCAGCTACAAGGGAGGCTGAGGTGGGAGGATGGCTTGGGCCCAGGTCAAGGCTGCAGTGAGCTGCGATCATGCCACTGCACTCCAGCACTCCAGCCTGGGCGACATACTGAGATCCTGTCTCAAAAAAGAAAAAGAAAAGAAATAACACAGAGATCTGAGTACCTGAAGAGCTGGTTTTTGTTTATTTGTTTTGAGACAGGGTTGCCCAAGCTGGTTTTGAACTTTGAGTTCAAGTGATCCTCCTGCCTCAGCCTCCTAAGTGCCTAGGACAACAGGCATGTGCCATTGGACCCAGCAGGATTGGTTTTATGGATGCTAAGTTCAATTTTGGGAAAGTGAGTTTGAGCTACCTGTGATACAATAAGATTTACTCAAGGAAGTTCATAAAGCATCATTATTTTTAAAAATTATGAAACAACCTGATACACTGTTTTCTTTTGTTTTTAATTTATTATCATAACCCCTATATAAGACTGTGAGCACCATAAGAATTCATCTGTTTTGTTCGTAACTATATAACCAGAGGACCTAGTACAACGTCTGCTACATGGTAGGACTCTACAGTTTTTGAAGGAATGAAATTTAATGTTCATCAGTGGGGCAATACTTACACTGTGATATATCCATACCATTGGCTTCTATACAAATAAAATGGGAAAAAAAGAGGTAGTATTTTTCCTGCCACCTACAGAAATGTGCACAAAGAATGCTTATTTTAATTTAGTGTAATCAATTATAGTATGGAAACCAAATTTTTCTTTAAGTATTCCAAAGTCAAACACTGATTTTCAAAAATACCCTGTGCCCTTCCTCCTCTCTACACTACCATAGTGGATCTGCCACAGACCTACCTCCTTGGAATCTGTCGGTTCAGAAAATGTGTTTAAAGGTTTGTTTATTCAGGACAACTCCAAAGACCACAGTATATATATTTTTCCCATCTATTAATATAAAGCTAGACATGATACCCTCCAACTTTCCACAATGAGAAGCATAAGCACTAAACCTTCTATAAGAATGGATATTCATGCAACCCTGCCTACATCCACCTCACCACAAGATCAGAGATGGATGGCCCTGCTCCTAAGGCAACCCTTTCACATATGCATCACATCCCACCCCTCCTCACCAAATCCTGGACTCACCAAATCCTCCCAATTGCAGGAACATTCCTCCAGCAATCATCCCTTCTCACCTCTGCACCATCAGCTTTGCGCTATATGGCATCACTCCAACTGACATACAACAAACTCTATTATTTCTTCGAACCTAAAAGAATCTGAACTGTTTTCCCTAACAGATACTATCCTTTTTCCTTGCCGCCCTTAGCAGCAAAACTCTTAGCAGCAAAAGTATTACCTATATTGTATTCACTGTGGCCAATTTCTCTCCTAAGCCCATTGCAATCAGGCTTTCATTCCCACCATTCCATCGAAATTCCTATTCTCAAGATCACGAGTAACTTCATGTTGCTAAGTCAATTCTTTATCTTCATTTTCTTGACCCATTAAACAGCATTTGATACAATTGATCACTCTCCTTTTCCTTAATAGGCATTCTTCATTTAGCTTCCAGGAGACCACCCTTTCTTACCTCACTGGCAGGTCCTCCCCATCACTCCAGACTTTAACAGCATTCTCTATCTATACTCACTATCCACTCCCATGGCTTTAAGTATCATTGATATGCTGACAGTTTCCAAATTTATATGTCCAGCTCAGACCTCAATCCTGCACCTATACTGAACTGCATCCTCAACATCTCTATTTAAGGCTGGGAGTGGTGCCTCATGCCTGTAATCCCAGCAGTTTGGGAGGCTGAGGTGGGTGGATCACTTGAGGTCAGGAGTTCGAGACCAGCCTGGCCAACATGGCAAAACTCTGTCTCTACTAAAAATACAAAAATTACCCGTGGTGGTGCATGCCTGTAATCCCAGCTACTCGGGAGACTGAGGCGGGAGGATCACTTGAAGCTGGGAGGTAGAAGTTGCGGTGAGCCGAGATCGCACCACTGCACTCCAGCCTGGGTAAGAGTGAGAGACTCCATCTCAAAAAAAAAATCTCCATTTGGAAGTCTAATAACTGACCTCTTGATGTCCAACCCTGCTTTGAACTTGCTCCTCTTGCAGCTTTCTCCATCTCAATTAATATAACTCCATCTTTCAGGTGCTCAAGCCAAAAACCCAGTCTTCTCTTTCTCCTACATACCACATCTAATCTGTCGGCAAAGCATGGCTGATTGTACCTTCAAAATATATCCAGAACCCAACCACTTTTTACTATTTCTTCCACTGCTACCACCCTGACCTAAGACACCATCATCTGGCACCTAGATTATCATAAACCAGTGGTTCTCAACTGAGGGCTATTTTATCCCCCAGGTGACATTTGACAATGTCCAATGCAGTCCTGCACACTGTCAGATGCCTAGCAGCATCCCTGCCTCTATCCACTAGATGCCAGTAGCAACCCCCCACCTAGTCATGACAAAAAATGTTGGCCAGGTGTGGTGGCTCATGCCTGTAATCCGAGCACTTTAGGAGGCCGAGGCAGGAGGATCATGAGGTCAGGAGATCGAGACCATCCTGGCTAACACAGTGAACCCCTGTCTCTACTAAAAATACAAAAAATTAGCCAGGTGTGGTGGCACGCACCTGTAGTCCCAGCTACTCGGGAGGCTGAGGCAGGAGAATCGCCTGAACCCGGGAAGCGGAGGTTGCAGTGAGCCAAGATTGCACCACTGCACTCCAGGCTGGCGACAGAGCGTGACTACATCTCAAAAAAAAAAAAAAAAAAAAAGAAGAAGTTGCAGGGCACGGTGGCTCATGCCTGTAATCCCAGCACTTTGGGAGGCCAAGGCAGGTGAATTGCTTGAGCCCAGGAGTTCCAGACCAGCCTGGGCAACATGGCAAATCTCTATAAAAAATACAAACAACTAGCCAGGCATGGCGGCAGGTGCCTGTAGTCCCAGCTACTCAGGAGGCTGAGGTGGGAGGATCACTTGAACCCAGGAAGTTAAGGTTCTAGTGAGCCATGATCATGCCACTGCACTCCAGCCTGGGAACAGAGAAAGAACCTGTCTCAAAAACAAAACAAAAAAAACAAGAAGCAAACAAAAAATCAAAACAAAAGGCAATGGTGCTATGGTTGTGAAAATGTTGGACCCGACAAATATTATCTCTTTGCTTAAAATCGTCCAGTGATTCCCCATCTCACTCAGAGTAAAAGTCCTCACAATGACCCCCACAAGGACCAACTGTGATCAGCAACCCCACTACCCATTACCTGACTTCTTTTCCCATAACTTTTCCCCTTGCTCACTTCAATCCCGCCACACTTCCCTCCTTACAACTCTTTAGGGACTCTGCTCTAGCAGATTCCCTCTACCTGAAATGTTCTTCCCTCACTATCTGCTTGTCTATCTCCCTCACTTCCTTCAACTCATCTTTTCAATGGGGGTTACTGAGACCACCCTATTTAATATTCTATCCCGCCAGTTGGCTTCTCCTGCTCCCTTAACCTTGAATTTCTCCTTTTCTCCACAGCATTTATGGCCTTCCAGCAGTTATATAATTCATTTATTACATTTGTTGTCTGTATCCCCATAGAATGGCAGCTCCATGATGGCAGCGATTTGTCCCTTGTTCACTGCTGCATCCTAAGTACCTACAACCGCGCCTGGCATGTAGTAGGTGCTCAGTAAATACTTGATGAGTAGATCTGATAAAGCTTTTACTACTTCTCACTGTCACATCATACTACTCTGCTCTCTGGTTGTCACGACAGAAAGAATCTCTCTTAAGGGAATCCTAACTTTAGAGAAACCTGAACTTGAAATACTAGTAAACAAAAGATTCAGGCAGGAGACCTTTCCTGGCACCAGAAATCAGTACACTCCAGCTGTCATACACATTCATCTCTCTTCACTGGAGAGAGGAAGCTGCATATGGTTGTGGGGTGCAGCAGGGCACCATTTAAAAGAAAGAACTAAATCAATCAGTTTCATTGGGCAGCAATCTGCAAATTTTGGGAAAGGAGAGAGAGAATGAGTCTTCCGGCCCAGATTACCCTATTCTCCTTCTCCCTTTCCTACACTCTGAAGCAGCAGTGATGAGGAGAGGCGATAACACAAAAGGACCTCAGCAAGGATGTGGCCTCAGACACCATGTCCCCAAAGGAAGAAGTCATATCAGAACTCTCCCTTCTTACACACTGCAATCACACCCTGAGTAGGAATAAAGAAGTGGAAATGTGTCAGAGGAGCCTGAGAATTCGAAAGGGGAAATCTCGGAGACATGAAAGGGAGGGGGTCCCGAGACTTGAAGCTGGGTGAAGACAGACAGACGTCCCTTCCGACCTCCCCGGGTGCACTTTGCCGTCTCCACTCCTGTCTCCGCCCCTTTCCACTTGTGCGGGGCCGCACGGACCTTCGTTCTCCCGGTAGACATGACAAAGGCCGGCCGGGAGCCGGGGACGCAACAGCATCGGGGCGGCCAGCCGTCGTCCCCATCCCCAGGACAGGACACCCGCGCCGCCCCCTACTCACCTGCGGATCCATGTCCACCTCGGTCCCACACGCGCCGGGGGAATGCAGTGGAAAAGATCTGGGTTCCGGGGATCCTGGGATTCGCGTTCTCTTGCCCGCTCACGAAGCAGGGTAGAGAACTCGCGCGGCTCCGGCCGCTACCAGCCCCGCGCCACACCCGCCACTTTTGAATTCCAACGGCCGCCACCCGCTCTCACCGCGCTCTGCACGCAGGGACCAATCGTCGCTGTCGCCACAGCCGAGGGCCAATCGCAGCGTCCTCCGCCACCCGAAGCCACACCCCGCCCGACAGGCGCCTTCTCTTTTCTGTTTCGCAGGCGCCGGATAGGTAAGCGGATTAATTCCACTTCCGGTCCCACTTACGCTTCTCACCCCTCCCTCCTCTAGCGGCAACCGTGCTGGACTTCCGCTCCGCTCCCCGCCGTCGCTCGCTACGTCAAAAAATGCGTGGACGTCGCCGCACGAACGGAACTGGCCGAACGTAACTGGTGGCGGCCGGAGGAGGAGGGGCGGGGATGCTGGAGGAAAGAAATCACACATGCGCAAACAGGGACCATTGCCGGGAGACAGGCTGGACTAGCGCCTCCTGGTGACTGCAGTAGGGAGCGCACTCGTTTTTCGTCGACGTGATTGCGGCTCCAGCGCTGCCTCTCCTGGTCGTGGTTGACTGGGCCCGGAAGTGGCTCCTGGAGCCCTCATGTGGACGTTAGTGGCCTGGTGTGTTCATTCCCTGGTAATGTTGCCATTTCTCACCAAATTTAGGAACTTTTGCGCTCCATTGAAGCCTGACAGTGGGGATTCAAAACTCAGGAAATAATTTTTTTTTTATAGCCCTCTTCTCTCAGTCAACCTACTTACCTGGGTGCTGTTACTGGTGCTGGGCTCAGGGTCTTTGGAGTCTCGAGCCCAGGGAGGATTTACTTTTTCCATTTATGGAGTATTTTATGTTTTTCAGGTTATGGACCTGTATTATCTCCTCTTATAATCTCAAAAATTCACTGAGTTCCTACATTGTGCCACGTTCTTTGTATAGATGGATGGAGACAGGTTCAGAAAGGTTAAATAGTAAGTATAAGGTCACACCGCTGGTTGGGAATGGATCTAGATTCCATTAGCTTCAAAATTCGAGCTATTTCTGTTAACTCACGTTGCCTCTAACAGGCTCGGTGACAAGAGCAACCTCTTACGTGTGAATAAGGTGCTAGTTTGCAAAGTCGTTCTACCATATTTACTCATCCGAGTTTCCATCCAATCCTGGAGGTAGTCAGGACAGGGTTTTATTTATGAAGCCGAAAGGCAGGGGCCTAAAGCATATGTTGGGGGGTTTGGTGTGCAGTTGGAAATTGGCAGGTCTGGCACCCACGCTGCCGTCTTCTATCCATTGCTTTAACTTGGCTTCAAACAAACTTGTGGAGAGAAGCAGATTGTGGGGAGACACACTGTCTGAAAACCATGTTGCCATCCCCCCAACCTTTGATATCCTGGGAAAACTCCAAAAAGCAAGAGCTGGAAGAGAACACAGTAAAAAGAAAAGTAAAGGAAGAAACTAGAGAAAACCAACAATGGAAGGTAAAGGGAGTAACTGAGAAGGGAGACCTGAGAAGAAACATATAGCTAAAGATATTTATCAAATTAAAAGAAAAAGTTAAACTAGGAGAAATATAGACCCATTAGCAGATGAAAGGGGGAAAATTTATTCATCCCAATTGATGCAGCAAAGCCACTCAAAATATTCAACACCCATTGATTTAAAAAAAAAAAAACTCCAGAAGCTGATAAAGGACATCTTCAAAAATTTCGCAAAATGCCTCACCATAATGGTGAAATGTTGAAAGCATTCCTTTCAAGATGGGGAACAAGGCAAGGATGCCTTCTCTCAATAATCCTCATCAATACAACAATGGAAGTTGTAGCCAGTGCAGCAACAAATATATAAGGATTACAAAAAACAATAATGTTAATATTCGCAGATGAAATTATTGCATGTACAGCAACCCTAAAGTAAAATTCAGATAAAATTGATAAATGAGTTTAGCAAGGTTGATGGATAAAAGATCAGTAAGAGGAAAAAAATCAATTTACAAGATCAATTGCATTTCCATCTTCAGCAACACCAATTAGAAAGCGTAACTTTAAAAATTGTACTATTTGGTTCCATGAATATTTACATACATAAAAGTTAAGCTCAGGCTGGGCACGGTGGCTCACACTTGTAATCCCAGCACTTTGGGAGGCTGAGGCAGATGGATCACCTGAGGTCAAGAGTTCAAGACCAGCCTGAACAACATGGTGAAACCCCGTGTCTACTAAAAATATAAAAATTAGCTGGCTGTGGTGGTGTGCCTGTAATCCCAGCTACTCAGGAGGCTGAGGCAGGAGAATTGCTTGAACCCGGGAGGCAGAGGTTGCAGTGAACTGAGATCGCACCATTGAACTCCAGCCTGGGCTAACACAGTGAGACTCCTTCTCAATAATAATAATAATAATAATAATTAAAAAAAAGAAACACTTATTGTGTGCCAACGATCTGGAGCCAGAGGACCTGTGAAGGTGCCACACCGTGCTGCTTACTGGGAATACAGCAGTGAACACAACAGATGTGGGCCTCCATTTCTCAAAGTTCTGGCCCAGTGAGGAGTACAGATGAGCAGAGAGGCAGCGACAAAAAATAAAAGAGATCATGCATGTGAAGTTCTTAGCACGGTCTGTACAATTGTATGTATCCCTGAGCAGCAGCAGCAGGGCACAACGGGCCAGAGCCAGGCTCATCAAGTGTGCAGAACTGAGAAGGGCTGCAGCACAGAACAGTCTGGGGAGCTGAGGCTGGCGGGATGGGTAGGAGGGGGCAGACCACGAAGGCTTTACCCTGGGGATAGGAGCAGGAGTCTCCTTCAAATCTGTCAGTTGGTGGGATTCCCTACTTCCAGGATGGGGAAGGGTGAAGCTTTACAGGGACAAAGTCTGTGCTGGAGTGAGCCCAGGAGTTCAAGACCAGCCTGGGCAACATGGGGAAAAGGAGTAAACACTCCTTTTCCTGTGCATCATGCAGTTTGCCACCATCTGCTATAGAGAGCCCCACAGGGCAGGGTTTCCTGCTGGGCCACCTCAAGTGCTACAGGCCTGTCCAGGGGTGTCCTGCCCACACAGGGTGCTGTGACTCAGGCACTCAACCTTGGTCCAGCCTCTCACAGTTGAGCATAATATTGATAGTGACACTGAGCCTTTGATAGAGGCTGTTAGTTTCCCCCCCAGTATTGTTTCTCCAATCTTTTCTTCTTAATGAACCCTCCAGTTTTTTGCAAGACACAGGGCCACCAAAAAAGACCTCAATTCCCAGCCTGTCTTGGGACTAGGTATGGCAATGGACGGTGCTCTGGCCAATAGAGCACAAATGGAAGTAATGTATCCACATTTCAGGAAAAGCCCGGAAGAAAGGAGTATGCCCTTCCCCGTCAAACCATGCCATTTGTTGAGAATAGAATAACCACAGGCTTGGCCTGGCGCTGTGGCTCACACCTGTAATCCCAGCACTTTGGGAGGCTGAGGCGGGCAGATCACCTGGGGTCAGGAGTTTGAGACCAGCCTGGCCAACATGGTGAACCCCGTCTCTACCAAAAATACAAAAAATTAGCTGGGCGTGGTGATGGGCACCTGTAGTCCCAGCTACTCGGGAGGCTGAGGCAGGAGAATGGCGTGAACCCGGGAGGCGGAGCTTGCAGTGAGCCCAGAGAGCGCCACTGTACTCCAGCCTGGGCGACAAAGCGAGACTCTGTCTCAAAACAACAACAACAACAACAACAACAAAACCCACAAAAAAATTAGCCAGGCATGGTGGCAGCCGCCTGTAATCCCAGCTACTCAGGAGGCTGAGGCAGGAGAATTGCTTGAACCTGTAAGGCGAAGGTTGCAGTAAGCCGAGATTGCACCATTGCACTCCAGCCTGGGCAACAAGAGTGAAACTCTGTCTCAAAAAATAAAAAATAAAATAAAAAATAATTAAAAAAAGCTCTTCCTACCATCTTGACTCCTGTGGAGGCCTGCTGGGAAAAGGACTTCTAAAAGGAACTATGTCTGGAAGGCTGTGGTCCAAGGCCATTTTTGGCGGCTATAAGTGGGGTCTCCAGAACCAGAGGGAGCCTATAGCTCTTCTTAAAATTGAAGGTGTTTATGCCCGAGATGAAACAGAATTCTATTGGGGCAAGAGATGCACTTATGTATACAAAGCAAAGAACAGCACAGTGACTCCTGGCAGCAAACCAAACAAAACCAGAGTAATCTGGGGAAAGGTAACTCAGGCCCACAGAAACAGTGGCATGGTTGGTGCCAAATTCTGAAGCAATCTTCCCACTAAGGCTATTGGACACAGAATCCGAGCGATGCTGTACCCCTCAAGGATTTAAACTAATGAAAAGTCAATAGGCTGGGTGCAGTGGCTCACTCCTGTCGTCCCAGCACTTTGGGAGGCTGAGGCGTGTAAATCACGAGGTCAGGAGTTCAAGACCAGCCTGACCAAAATGGTGAAACCCCGTCTGTACTAAAAATACAAAAATGCTGGGTGTGGTGGCGAGCACCTGTAATCCCAGCTACTTGGGAGGCTAAGGCAGAGAACTGCATGAACCCAGGAGGCGGAGGTTGCAGTGAGCCGAGATTGTGCCACTGCACTCTAGCCTGGGCGACAGAGCGAGGCTGAGTCTCAAAAAAAAAAGAAAAAGAAAAAAGAAAAGTCAATAAATAAACATGGATTTGTGCTCTTAAAAAAAAAAAAAAAAAAAAGACAAAAAAAAAGCCAGGCATGGTGGATCATGCCTCTAATCCCAGCACTTTGGGAGGCCAAGGCAGGAGGACCACTTGAGGTCAGGAGTTCCAGACCAGGCTGGCCAACATGGTGGCACCCCGTCTCTACTAAAAATACAAAAAAATTAGCCAGGCATTGTGGCGTGTGCCTGTAATTCCAGCTACTCAGGAGGCTGAGGCAGAATTGCTTGAACCCATGAGGCAAATGTTGTGGTGAGCCGAGATCATGCCATTGCACTCCAGCCTGGGCAATGAGGGCAAAACTCCATCTCAAAAAAAAAAAAAAATTATTCAAAGACTTAAAAGGCTGTAACTCAGCCTTGATTCAAATAGGTTACAAGTAGTCATGATGATATTTAACAGGAAACATTGCAAGATGAGAACTTTGATGAAGTCTCATGTAGGTATAGATACAGGTACAGATATTCATATAGGTACAGATACAGTTATAGTCATGGTAGACTCCAGATCACAATGAACCAACATTTGGCCAAAGGCAAAAAAATTATTTAAGATTACTTTTATGTATGCTCAGTCTCTAGTAAAGGTAACTACCATTCAATTTTTTTAATTTTTTATTTTTTGGAGACGGAGTCTTGCTCTGTCAACCTCCACCTCCTGGGTTCAAGCGATTCTCCTGCCTCAGCCTCCTGAGTAGCTGGGATTACAGACGTCCGCCACCATACCCACCTAATTCTGGTATTTTTGGTGGAAACGGGGTTTTACTGTATTGGCCAG